GGAGCAGGGATAGAGCGTTCCAATGGTGTGTATCCAAATCTGTCAATAGCATAGAATTGCTGATTCCTTTAAAACAAAAACCTATCAAGCCCACCTCCATAAAACTACACTAAGAGAATGTGAGGGCGGATAGCGAGCAACTTGAGAGCAAGGAAATGACAAGACCTTCAACAGGTCTACATACATACATCATACTAAGCATTGGCTTAAGCCTTGACATGATCAAGACCAAAGCAAGGCCTATCACACTAGGATAGTCCCCTGAGAATCCTTTCCAGCCTCAGTCACTCACCACAACAACTCCAGATCACTGTCACCACCATCACCTTTTATTGGATTCTTCCAGCAGGCCACAGCCTGTAGCATTAGTAATATATATATTTACCCACTTGCTGCTAGCAAAGGGAATCATACTAGCAGTATCTAAGCCTGTCTATGCCAGGCTTCCTTCCTGTCTGTTTACATAATCCCAGCTGCTACAAGGAGGGTGGGGGAGAAGAGTGTTCTTCCCCCTCAATTAGCCCTTCAGCTGTAGCTCTACTCAGTTAATTGACACCCTCTGTCAACTATCTGTCTTTGAATTAGGTCCTAATTACTATAGCCTGGTGGGTATTAGCGAGGACAGGGTGCCGATTTAGCTCCTGATTTAGCACCCCTGTAGCAAGGACCCAATCCTGCAGCTGGTGCTGCAGGGCCAGGAGCTCATGCAGAGTTAATTGCAGGATGAGGCAGGGCCTAGATTTGCATTAGACCTGAGCAAAAATTTGATGTTTTTGGTTTGGGGGCTGAACCAAAATGTCTGAAAAATAAAAAATTGGTTCTGCTCAAACCAAAAGTGGGGTAGGTTTTTTCCAGTTTTTCCTCAGCAAAACAAAACTGTTTGGTTTTGGATCGATCCCCAATTTTTTTTTTCAGTTTTTTTGTTTAGTTTTGGGACATTTTTAGATTTTTTCCCCCCTTTTAAAAAATAGCTACATTTCAAAATGAAACACTATTTCTGAATAAAAGTTGAAACAAAACATTACAAAATGGCTTGGATGAATCATTTCAACTTTTTCAAAAAACAAATTCTTACATTTTTTTCAGCCTAAACTATTGACCGAATTTCATCTGAATTCATGAGTCATGTCAGTGCCTGTCAAAATAAATATTTTGACAAATTTACTGTTCCCTGAAAAAACTTCCTCAGCTCTACTTTATATGTGCAACATTGCACATTGGCCCATTGTTTGTGTGTATTATGATTTGGGCCCTGATCCTGCATTGAGTGCTAGATGGGTGGACCCCCTGTACCCATGCACAGCCCCACAACTTCAATGGGGCACTGCGTACATCCAGAGTCTGTCCTTGCAGAACTCATTGCAGGATCAGGACCAAAGCAACACAATATGACACCATTTGTTTCCCTTACAAACTTAAGTGCAACTCTCTAGCATCTTGAAACATGGGCTCCATATGCCAGACAAATACAGCCATGAAAGTCAAGCACACAGTAGACTGTGCTAATACAATGTGTAACACAGACTAAGCAGAACAACATAGGCCTTAGCTACACAAGGACAGTTTTTGAAAACGTTCCTACTGTTGTTTGCGGGTGAACCAGAATTAGCAATGGCGGGCAACTGCTCCCGTATTTCCCTAGCATAGCCAAGGCCCCAGGGTGATGAAGAAAATGTGCAGATAACTAATCGGCAAATTAACATGGATTTTGACTATCTGCCTACTTAACTGGTTCATCTCCTGCGTGGCCGCTAAAGAAGGCTGTGCGGCTGGTTGATAAGAGAACGTGTAGTACACAGGTCCCAATGTTGCAGTGAGCTCCAGCTGGGGGACCTTATTGCAAGACCAGACCAAAGTTACGGAATAAAACAGAGATTAGAAAAGTTATCAGAGAACAACTCTGTCTAGAAATCTAGTGTGGAACACTGCAACAATAGAATAGGGTAACCCCAACAGGATGCAAAAATATGTCAACCTGTTGCTCCTGTTTTTAGGGTGGTAGAAAAATCCTGTCTCATAGTGCATTATCTAATAGGCCTAAACTTGCAACAGTGACTGATTTGGGGTGCTCAACCCGAGACACCTGAAGGGGCCTTAAACACTGAGCAGCTGCCCTCTGAAAATCAGCCCTCTTTCAAATGTCTCAGGTTGGACAACCTGAAGTTAAAGTACCAAAATCATTAGCCAGTTTTGCAAATGCAGGCCGCAGTGTGTAATCATGTAATGAAATGATTTGTTACTGTATGCAGAGCCCTATTTTGGTGCTGAGTTATTACAGACATTATGAATTATTTCAATTAAACCTGCCTCACCCGCTAACTAGTCCCTCTGCCCCAACAGCCCAGAAGAGTTTAGCCCTTCCAGATTAATTGCATCCTGCAATGCGGCCAATTATATGGCCAAAATAACTGCAATGGCGGTTTTCCACTGTTAGACCTAAGTGGCGAATGCAGTTGGGCCTATGGAGCTCCATTCGCTGTGGTATACTTCTGGTCAGCGCAAAGTGGGTGTATCTGACCACTCCCCTATGAGGCGATGGCCACTTGGGCCCATGGGTCTTCTCTTTAAAATATTTTATTTCCCTATGCTTGCCTATCACATGCTTCAGCACCCTTTCCCCTCCCAGTGTGTCGCTCTGTTAATAAATTGTAATATGTATGACATATGTCATAGCAGAGGTGTGTGTACAATCTGTCTGTCAAGCATAAGGTATTATAAGCGTAATCCTGTCTGCCTGCAGATCTGAGAAAACAAAGCAAGCTGTTTCTTGCTGAGAGAGCTGGGAGTTGAACTGCAGACCCACAGAGCGCTCTCCTGCTGGGGTAAGTTGGCATAGCTCCACTGAAGTGGCTAAGGATCTGGCCCGCAGTTTGTGAGCTTGTGAAGAAGTCTGGCTGCCCAAACAGCATCTGGCATAGAAAGGAGACCGTCAAAGGATATTGTAACAGGGCAGGCTGTTAACGTGACCTCAGGTCAGACTGTGCTCTTAGCCACTCGGCTGTATAGCAGGCATAACTCACGTGAAATCCAGGGAGTTCCTCTGGGGTGCTGATGGTGTAATTGAGAGCAGAATCTGACCCTGTGGCTCTGAACTACACGTGGGGCCAGATTCTCAGCTTGTGCCAATCAGCATCACTCCAATGAACTCCACCGAAGAAGGAGGAAGGGACTAGGTCTTTCAGAAATCAGGCACTCAGCACGAACATTGTGTGAATACCAGGGGGTAGTGGGCTGAATGAAGTCTGTTGGAGGTCTCGGGAAAATAAGAGTTTAGGGATATGATTTGGGTGACTATATTTTAAAACAGAAAGCCCCATTGCCATTCCCGCCTAGGTTCTGCCCACCAGCGTATTTTTCACCCTGTTCCCTCATACTCCTTTTTTGCTCTTCATCTCATCTCATCTCACCTCACCTCAAGTCAAGTCCTACCTTCCTCCTTGCTTCTCCGCTCCAGTCTTCTGCCTCTGAAGCTCAGCCCACGCGGGCTGCATCACTGTTTCCACAATGGCTCAGTAAGTCTAGTATGATGAATATTACAGGCCCCAGTTGAGGAATAAGGAATCTGCCACCACGGGCGGGGATTTCTGTCTGGTATGATACGTGTAAATAAAGCTTGCTCCTACTCCGAATGAGATCAAAGGGAGCTGTGGCAGTAGCACCTGTGAAAATCAGGCTGCTTTTATTCAGGTGCCCAAATATCAGAGCCAACTGAAATTTTTTCACAGAAATATTTCTGTGCCCCAAAAACGGGTCTTCTGATCAAACTGAATTTTTGTCTTAGAAATGCCTTAGTGTGGTGGAAATTTTCTGGGCTTCTGATGAAAAATTGGAAATTGAAAATGTTAACAGAAAAAATATATATATTTTACCAAAAGCAGTTTGCAAAAATAGCATTTTCTATTTCTGGTTTAAGATTTTTGTTCAAAAAAAAAAAGAGTTCCTGGGAAATTTTGCATGCAGATTTAGGTGCTTATCTTTAGCCACCTAAATACAAAGTAAAGAAGAAAGTAAAGCATAAAGAAGTACAATGTACATTGTTTTGATGTCGTAGCCTTAATAATTTTTTTTTTTTTTACAAACTCATGTTTCTTTGCTTACTCTCTAATTCACAAAAAGCATATGTCATTTGCAACGGGTTCCCTAGTCTTCGGTCCCAGTACTGCTGAAATGTGAGCTAGTGGGGATCTCTTACACAGTGCAAAATACCATTGAATTCACTGTAACTCCATGTAGTCATAAAGATTCATACCAATACATCTATTTGCAGGATTGGGTCCATAATAGGAAGAAGTGAAGTTTTGCTCTATAGAGGTGCTTGGTGAGAAATGAACTCAATACAGTCCAGGGGTAGTACTGGTATAATTTTGAGATCTTTTATTCCAAAGTTTAACTGAAAGCTAGAAACCCAGGTTTAGCTCTCCATTGCATTCATGTTATTTCCCCAACTGGTAAACGGCAATAACAGGACTTTTTATAAAGGGGTGAATCATTTATGAGAGGCATATATAGATAGATAGATATAGATATATCTCCCTTGCCACACTCCCTCGCATACACATCACCTCCAAACCCATCGTCCAGCTACATTTTGGACATGTGGGTTCCTTCTCATTTTAGCCACTCTTTGTTGGGCCCAACTCAAGGAAGCAAGAAAGCAGGTGATGATCTTGTAGTTAAGACCCTGGACTAGGACTCAGGAGATTTGGATTTTGTTCCTGGCTCTGATACTAATGTCCTGTGCGAACTTGAACAAGTCACTTCCCATAGCCGTGCCTCAGTTTCCCCACCTGTCAAATAGGGATCATGTGAGGATGAATTCATTGATATTTTGAGGTGGTAGATATTATGGTAATGGGTGGCGCCATGTTCAGACCTAGATGAGACTTCACAAAGGAGTGCAGTAACCATTGGCCACAGAGCAGGAGTGTAATATTTTTGATCATTCATTCATAAAACCACCATTTAATGAAAGATCTTCAAATAAGAACCAGGCTACAGGCTAATTCATAGCTGTTTATTGTAAATCACTCATGAGTTTACATGTCATTAATGGCAAATGAACACTGTTAAACACCTGCTGGATGAAGTACAGAATAAGGACAATTCTTTTATATTGGCATCATTTAAAAAACAAAACTAAAGAAAACCCGAACAAACCCAAAAGAACTGAGTTTGGTTTTAAAATTGTACATCTTTCCTGAAAATAACTAGGCCTGATTCTCATTTATATTAAGGCCATCTTTCCCCTCCTCCCTTTGCAGTGTAAATGGGCGTGAAAGTGGACATATTCACACTGCCAGAACAGGGCAAAGGGAATCTCAGGCCTGGGCTACACTACAAAATTAGACTGGTTTAACAATGTGAAAAATCCACACACCCCCAAGTGCATAGTTAAGCTGACCAAAGTTCTCATGTAGACAACGCTAGGTTGATAGAAGAATTCTTCCATCGAGCGAGCTACTGCCTCTCGGGGAGGTAGAGTACAGTACCTAACCCCTCCCATCAGCATAGGCAGTGTCTACACTGAAGCAGTGCAGCTGTAGCATTTTAAGTGCAGACAAACCCTTAATGTAAATGAGAATCAGGCCCTCTGTCTTCAAAAGTGCTCCAGTGCAGACAACATAAAGCCTTTCTCCTGCACTGGCTACCATCTAACACAAAGGGCTGTAGGTCCCAAGACATGCTGCTTTTAAAAGGCAACTGTTAAATCCAGAAGCTACATAACTTTAAAAATATATATATTTTGCTCTGAAACCAATAGAGGCTACATGCAGTTGTAACATTAGGAAAAACTGTGATCTAGATAAAGGCCAGGTTTTAAAGACCTGATAGTGAAAGCTCGAAAAAAAAATGAAGACACCTATTGTGCAGAAGTAGCTAAAATATGCATGCAGCAGTGGCTGTGACCTGTTAGAATATAAATTAGGTCTCCAAACATTTAAATCGAAGCTTTTTTTTGGTTTAAGACACAGTTGAGCAGTATATCTTTACAAATTACAACGTTTATGTGACAATGAATGAATCAGCTAAGCATGGCATCAGTTTGTATTTTGGCTTGTATAATGTGTAGCGTTTAACACAAAAGCCTGCTTAGCAATAAATTAATTTTATATAAACAAAGACAGTGGAGCAAGGGTCTTGCAAACAGAAATAAGAAAACAGATTTTCAGACAAACATCTTTTTTAAAACGGATTTTTCCCCAGTATAGGGGATTTTTTAAACATTCTTTTCTGTTTGTTTTTGTAACAGCATATCAGGCCCTATCCCCAACCCCCCAAAAAATTATGTCTCAAAGCATGTTTGGTTGTCTAGTAAAAACAAAAACAAACATTCACCTGAACCGCACTTTGAAAGGATAGTTAATTCCTCCATCTTGCCAGGGTTAACACGAACAAGCATATTACAGTGTACACTGGACTTAAACTAGAATGACTAAAATCAAAGATCTAGGATGTTTAACACGAATATTAAATAATATCCAATATTTTTTACACTTAATAGTCTGGGATTTGGACATAAGACATCTAATAGGAAAAAAAATTGGGACTAAATTCACCCCTGACATAAAGCCACTAAAGTCAATGGAGTTATCCCAGGGATTAATGTAGCCCATTTTATCTGGAAAAAAAAAAAAAAACTAAACTTTTCTCAAAGAAAAAATACACGCGCACACACACACACACACGACAGCATAGATTTACACAGAAATGTTACATTTTCAAGCACTGCCATCACCAGTCCTCTCTTTGCGGGCTAAGATCATCTCCTTGGGAGCCTGTTTTCGGTCAGTAACCAGCCCCAACCAGAACATGAAGTCAATGAACCATGTGGTTGGGTTGAATTTCAAGCCAAGCTCGCTGGCTGAATAATCAAATGGAAAGGTGTGATGGTAATTGTGGAAGCCTTCACCTAGAAAAACAAACAGAGATTTTAAGTGCAGTGGCCAACATATGTCTTGTGATTAGATAGATAGAAGATGTTCTACCCTGGTATAACCCTGTACCTGTAACATGTTCTACCCTGGTGTAACCCTACCAGGTGCATCATTGATTTAAAATGCAGAGAGAGAAAAAGTTGCAGGATCATGGCCTCATCTATCTAACTATGGCTTCCCTATATGCAAAAGTTGCATCAGTTTCACAAATACTGGCTTTTACATTGATTTAGTTAAACTGGGCAAACTGCAGTGTGGATACTCATCTCAATTTACAACTGGTTTACACTGATGTAGTTTAATTCAGTTCACATGAAGCTACATCTATATCTATGTGAGATTTCTGTAGCAAACTTGGTCCTCACATCAATAAAGTACATTGTGGTTTTGCTTCCCCCATTGAGAGGGGGCAACAAAGACATTTGACAAACAATCCCCTATTGCTAAACCACATGACGGAAAACAAGAAGGGAATGGGGTGCCTACTTCACACAAGGTCTGAGGAGAGAGGAAGGGGCAATTAACCCTGAGACAGGCTGCACAGGGAGCCGGGGAGAGAAGAGTCAGGGCTGAAACTTTTAGTTGATGATGAAGCCCATCTGAGCAAGAGGCAGGCTAAGCTGCTCTAAATCCAGGAATTAGAAAATAAGAAGGGGACTGCAATAACTTTCTGGGCTTAGAGAGAGAAAGGAACAAATGGGAGGGGAGATTAGAAGCCCTGGGATCTTAGCCCTGAGGGAAGGGAGTACCTAGATGAGGGTGGAGAAGGAGCCAGATAGAGGTGAAGTAGGATGCAGCTCAGGGAAACAGCAGCAAGGTCTGGGACAGTGCAAACCTTGCCCGCTGGTTGTAGAGTCCCTGGGTTGGAACCCGGAGTAGAGGGCAGGCCTGGGTTCCCCTACCAGCCACTGGGGAAGTGGAAAAGACTGGGCAGTGGAGCAGAAGACTGCTTGAGACAGTTTGTCCAGTAGGACTTTGAGACCCCGGAAGGGGAGGACTACAGTGACCTGGCCAGAGGACCCAGCCATGAAGAGAGAGCACCCTGAGGGATGGAGGGGCAGTAACCTGACTCCAGAGAGAGAATGAGACCAGGGGGTGAGAAACTGAAGGAAGGGGCGTCAGACTGGTCATGAGCTAATCCCCAGTTGTGGCCACAGGGAGGTGCCCCCGCAAACCCCGTGGCAGGAGCGATCCAACGTGATTTTACAAGGATGCCTCCAGATGAGAATGACTGAAGAAGTTCCCTTTCGGCCCTATCACACCGGAGAATTGGCCTATTCCAAGGCTGTCACAAATGAACCAGAAGAATCCACTGTTGAAAACAGCTTGACTGCTATCTCTTTTCAGCTCAACTGAGACTTGAGGCTCAATCATACCTCTGTAACAGGGCGCTGCAAGGTTTTTGTCTCACACACGCTATAAGCTAAACTGGTTTCAATACTGGTTCCAGTCTCCCATTCCTTACACCCTTTGGCAGCATCCAGCCCAGCTATTAGACGGGACATGCTGCCGTCAGCCAGAGTCCCACACATGTATCTGAAGCAGAGCATTGGGGGTTGGACTAGATGACCTCCTGAGGTCTCTTCCAACCCTAATCTTCTATCATTCTGTGAGCCCAAAAGAGTAAGTTTTAGCATTCCGAGGGCAATAGCTCAGGTTCCCTGTCAAATATCTTGCTGCTGAATGGATGTTTCAGTTAAGGTAACAGAGAGGAGTGTAGCGCCTCTTCCCTAACAGGGCTTATGTCATATGCTGGTAGAACTCTTAAGACAGTTATAAGAGAGAGGGTTAAAAACTGTGCAGCAGCAGGGAGCCGAGAAAACCTGCTGTGAGAGAGAGTAGAGGAGTCAGGCTGAGGTGAGAGCAGAGATAAGCTCCCTGACTTCCTTTCTATTACAGAAAAAATTGTACATCCCTTGTTGGCAGCTAATAACCCTTCCTATCCATTTCATTGCAGCACTTGTTCAAGAGGAATATGGACAGGCCCTGACATTTGCACTCAAGGGTCTTGGACATTCATGCGGTATTTACGTGTGGCAACGGCGCGACTGACTGTCAAAATAGCCACTACGTCTATTCAAATAATAAGAGAAGAGGATAATCATATGGCGTGAGGCTTCAATTAATGGTGGGTTAGCCCTGGGAAGTGGAAAATATCCATTTTTATTTTAGAGTAGCAGGTCAGAGCTTTAGTTTTGGGACACAAATGTGTACCGTCCAGTCGGCAAAATTATTGTGATTAAAAGGGAAGGAGGAGGAGATAGATGATCACAAGCTCAGCAGCAGTGATAGTGGGAAGAGCAGAAGTCAGGTTCAATTATGTATGATGAATACAGAGGCTAAGATGGTCCAAAGTAGGTACCTCATAGGAACCTAAATCCATACTTGGAATCTAAGGGTGGAATTTTTAATGACTTCCCAACCTCTACATCATCACCTATTACTGTTCTCATTGGGAGGAACTGTCCAAGGAAACGGAAAAAAGAAACCTGATTTCAGACATTTAACGCCTATACTGTACAGGACCCCTACCTAGACGGGGACCAGAAGCAGGCAACACAAACTAAAGTTGAGGATGATCAACGCAAGATTTGCCGCTAACAAACAACCAACAATATACAACCTCATTAGTGACAAAGCACACAATATAGCCTGCATTCCCAAGGCCTGGCTGGATAATATTGCAGCAAGCCCTGTGCTAGCGCACCTTGTTCCCCGAGGATACTCAGTACATCACAGACCTAGACAGGACAAGAAGGCAGATGGCCCTGCCTTCATCTTCTCAGCAAACATCCAATGCAAGAGATGTGCTTCACATAAGACAATTTCATTTGAATTGATGCATCTGGCAGTCGAAACCAGACCCAAAGCTAACATAGGTTTTATGCTCATTTACAAACCAGCACAGATTAAATGATCCATAAAGGAGCTCACCGACCCCTTGTCAGTGATGGGGGTGAAATGCCGCTGACTTGTCATCCTGGGAGATTTCAACACACATATTCAACAAGAAGAACAGGAGGACTTGTGGCACCTTAGAG